AGTTTGTGTAATTATTATACTGGATTTTGCATAAAATCGAAAAAATTCCCATCGGATACTTTTGTCCAGGGAGTGTAGCTTGTATATGCTTAGCAAATAAAAAAGCCCGTTATAAATCATCCCACACTGCTATCAATATTAGAAGATAAAACTGCGGCAGGACATCTTTTACATATTACATCAAGCTGCATCACCATATCCAGCACCATTGCATAAAATCTCTTCTGATAGCCCATATGTGGATATCCTGGGTGTGTACTGAGATGGTCTTAGTTTCTTATCCACTATCACCCAGGATACGAGTATCTTAGGACTGGACAAACCATCAAATTCAAACGGTGAGACCTGAGTTTGAGTTAGGAGCTAGTGTACAGTCTTGGTGAAATTTTCATTCAAAAATTACTGAACAAGGATCTTTTAAATTCTAATAACCGTAATAGCGTGTCTTTATATAAATAGACTCTGGAATATACAGACTGTTTATAACACAAGAATGTTTTTGAATCACCTCATGCTTCTATTGCTCTGTCGCGATGTGGCCAAATGACAAAGCAAACATGAATATTCTGCTCTGCTATCTTTTCATCAAACCCGGTTATACATATATTGTAAATCATACTTTGTTTGCTTGGTTTTGTTTCAGGAGTCCAATCATAGAGCAGGAGGAGTTGAAATATGCCAGTATGTCTGAGAGAGCAATAATATACAACACTTAATAATTAACTTTCATTCGGACCAGTTAACACTGTAATTATGTCCTTACCGACAAATATTTCTGGACTGCACAGGCAGAATGTCTAATTGGCTAGTTTATGTGCATGCAAGCGAGATAAATAAGACCGATGGGAAAACGTTGATTTAATAATTAAGTTGGATTTTACGTTAGACAACTGTACTCGTGTTATTATCCGTTTCAATAACATATTCGATTATACTTTATCTCTTGATATATTCTTATTCGTTTTGTAACTTTACATAATTGATCGCTTCGAACGTGTAAGAGAGTTAGATTTGTCTACTTTTATTTATCGTTTACATTATTAATTAAGTAGACGCAATTGATGGAACACTTTATCCAGTAAGCCTGATTATAGGTTGACTGTACCTGTGCCGCAGTGGAGCATCACACTGGGACTTTGATACGCCAGCAGTTTTTCCTAATATTATTGTGTAATTCTACAACTATGCCAAGACTTAATACGCTAACGTCACCAAACTGAATAAATTGTCAGGCATGAAGAAGCTCTTAATTAATTGAAACCAGGCGTGTTCCAGAATTGACCGATTGAACCCATCGCATTTCCATTTACCTCTTGTTAGCATAGAGTTGCGTAATTCTCATAGTAATCATATTGGAGTGTTCTAGCATTCTATAATATGCACCTGATAAGAACGTACAACACTAGTAGCTTATAAAAACTCAGTAGAGAACGCAAGTAGCTAGTACCTTACATATTTATATGCTGGTCTGTCTGGTAACAAATCAGCCAATTTAAGTAGACAGAGAGTTTTTGAAAGACATATATTTAATTTAAAGTGATAACTAATACACAAAACAATGAAATATACTTGGCGGTACACAGATTTACAAATATCACTACTATTTGTCCTTGACCCGAATATGAAACTCGTTTGTCTGTGGTGAAGCTGCTGTGCGGTGGTTGAGAGATTATCGAAATGCACATAATGTAACAGTAATTGGTTGCTGTATGCACTCCCACGCCGCCAACTGATCGTTAGTCATAACCAATAAGAAGGCAATTGCAAGATTCTTATTGGCTATTCAACCGACCAAGATAGAATATCGAAGAGTTAGCTAGTGTGGGGACAATCGACGAATACGTTGACAAATACGGGAATCCAATTATGGCGTTGACAAATACGGGAATCCAATTATGGCGTCGACAAATACGGGAAACTATTCAAAATGGATATCCAGCCCTGTGTAACATCTATGCACACACACATCCCTTTTTTGTATTTGTGAGCAGCCGGGTTTATGTGATCTTCGGGTTTTCGGCCTTTGTCCTGGTTTTGCCCACATATAGAATAAAGGAAGTCATCGGTAATAATTGTGAGGCTTACTATTATGTCAAGTCAATAGATTACACAAACATGATTGGCATTCATTAATAACGGTTATTTTCTGAATAATTTTATTTCACAAACAAAAACTTTACCCGACTCCGTTAACGAATTCGCTGAAAAGAGAAGGGGAGGGAAAAAAAATATATATTGGTGAAACAATGATAACAAGAAGAACACGAATAAGTAAGCTAATTAATTTGTGATTACTTTGTGTGGAATGTTCATGGAATAATATTACATTATGCTTTAATGCGTAGTTCTTGTAATTAATATTAATACACGGGGTACTACACTTGCTGGACCAAATTATGCTGGTGCTATGTTACAGCGAACGCATTCATAAATATTATTATATCTTTCTTCCACATATTCATATCACGTCCCACATGCGCTAACCATTTCGATCACATCAAGGGTATGACAATCGATGAAACATCTGACAACAATATAAATACAACAAATTAATGAAACCTTCAACACGTTCTTAAACAACCTCACACAGACCTACTAACTGCTGCTAGTCTCTCATTTCCCTTCCCTTCCCTTTCCCCGCTCTTTCCCTTGCTTACTCGGTCCGAGTCGACCGTACTTTATCACCATTACTTCCACTTCCTAAATCTGCACTTCCATCAACTCCTCACCTTCATTGGAAAGAAAGCGGCAATCTCACTTTAAACATGAAGTTGCTATCTGTCCTTACACTTCTTGTTGCGACCGCTGGCATACAGCAAACAATGGGTCATCCAGCTGCTGGTACTGCTGGTACGGGGACGGGGACGGGGAAACCTCCTGCAAAACCAAATCCCCCGCCCGCCAACCCCACCTACCCCACCACCTACAACAACACCAACACCCCCACCACGACCACAAACAAGCCTGCCGCACCGAGCCAAACTGTCACGATAAATGGAAAGCAACTCATTTATCCTGCTCTAGATATAACCCCCAATACTAATGACCCTGTAGTCAAACAATGGCTAAGCACACTAGATTTGAGTAATGTGCCTAATTTAGGCCCCTCTAATGGTGGGAAGGTTAATTACAATCCAACATTGTGTGGACCACCCACTGTAATCGCACCAAACCAGGGTTCATGGACATGTCAAAAGTTCGTTGCTCCGGATGACATCGTTGACTGCCCTGATAAGCTCACCTGGGGTCTCACATATGATGACGGTCCATCAGAATTCACACCCACATTATTGACGGCATTGGCAGCCAACAATGTCCATGCAACATTCTTTGTCGTTGGTTCTCGCGTGGTGTCTCATCCCGATATTCTTAAAAACATTATCGGTCAAGGTATGTATGATCACAGTTGAGAATGTGCCGTGAAGTGTTAATAAAATTCATGTACAATGACTTATTCTAATCTTTTATCGACTATAGGCCATAACGTCGCAGTTCACACATATTCGCATCCCTCCCTCACTTCTCTTAGTAACGATCAGGTTGTCGCCGAGTTAAAATGGACACTCAAGGTACATATCTTTTAACCGAGTGCAGACTACTCCATATGTATGTTCGCATACTCATAGTATTTCATCGATTTGTCGTCAATAGGCTATCAAGGATACTATCGGCCTTACTCCAAAATACATGCGTCCTCCATTTGGCGACACTGATAACCGCGTCCGCGCAATTACAAAGGCAGTTGGTTTAACAAGTAAGTATCCGATACGTTCAGCATACGCACCTTATCACACACACTTATTCGATCTATCACTTTTAGCGGTTATCTGGACTGATGGCTTTGACACAGATGACTGGTCCCTTACTACCGGCAAATCCACAATTAACGATGTACTCAACATATTTAATTCATGGGTAGTAAAGGCACCTTCCATGCCTCGTGGTTTCCTCGTCCTCGAGCACGATCTCTTTAAACAAACTGTAGACGCAGCCGTTGTTGTCATTGGCAAGGCTACCAAGACCAATTTGATCATCAAGACAGTTCCTCAGTGTATCGGTGATAATAGCCCTTATCTCGAATCGGTCGGTGCTGGTAACCCTACAAGTGGTGGCTCCGGTGGCTCCGGTGGCTCCGGTGGCTCCGGTAATGGCACTAACACTGACGCTACTGGTAGTGCCCAGGCAGCGGATACTGGATCTCCAAGTAACGGAGTTGCCCTTGCTGTTCATGCTGTAATACCAATAACTAGTGTTATCATTGGTTCTCTCTTCAACTTCATTTAATTTTCTTTTTGAAAAATGTACAAGTAGGATACTAATAGGGAATGGAGTAGGGGATTGTAAAAATGTTAATATGGGTGGCGATTAATGTTTATTTAAATAAGACGGGTGTTTCGGTTTAATTTTCTTCTTAGCGTTAATGTGAAAACAGCTAAGATGTCATTATCCCAATAATGCAACACAAGTCCGAAATACACAAAACCTACAGATTCTGACAGACTTGTCGTAGTATTTCCAAGTGTATAACAAATTTGGATATATTTTCATGTGATAATTCGCCAGATAAACATCAAACTTGTTTCCATCTGTAGGCATATAAACCCTTCCCCCTCAATAATCTTTTGTCGATAAAAAAATTCAATATTATTAAATTAGACCAGGACATCAAAATATGTACACGATCATGCAATAAAACCCATATAGATTAGTCGATGTCTTAATGAAACACGTCGCGCCAATTAAAGTTCGATAAAATAGTTTAACAACACTAGTCCAGTAGCTGCGCTCATCAACCGGGTATTAGTATTAAATTAAAAAATTTAATTACTGCACGCACGTTACACTGTGATCACGTTCTCTTATAATTAAATTAACGATAGGAATGGGAAACCCAGTAAAGGCTAAATTCAATTTAAGATTGATCCAAATTAAATGTCAATCATTTAATATCCTGAGCTGACTGATTTACTGCGTGTGATAACTTTTCAGGACAATTTTAATGTTGGGCAATATCCTAAATTGAACTAGCTCAGCTCCGCAGTGTAAATAACCCAGCTCAGTAATTAATTCGGCAATCAAGTGATCTACGCGTAGTAAGAGTCTGCCATTACATTATCGTATATTATTTTACGAATGTCATTTTTAGATAACGTTTTATTGGTGAGGATTATTCTTAGTGCAACAATATATTATTATGAATAGGAGTAGAATTTCTTCCATTTCTACATGCTCCTACGTTACATGTACTTTCTGATATACTGATTATTCCGGTCAATCGGAATAAGGTTTCAATAATACACAAATTTTGATGAACTAATTAATTATAATGAATAGATAGTGATTAATTAATCTATCGAATCGGATAGAAGAAACAGCAAAGACAATACGACGGATAGAGACTTTATCGATTACACTGAAATTAGTACACTAGATTAAGCACCAACAAAAGGCCGTTCAAACACACGCAGCCAAATAATAAATACTACAAACCTTGCATTTTGGACTTACAAACTAAAAAAAAAAATTGGTTAATCTTTGAATAAACGTGTAGAAAATACTACTAGTACTCTACATTAATGAAAATAATTAATTTAAAGATTGTCTTAAATTGGGAGTTGGTTCTGCATTATATTGACAATATATTAATGTACTTGAAAAAAGTACGTGAAAGATAGTAAATCTTAATCCTAACCTTTCTTGAAATCAAGTCAAGAACAAATTCAACAATAATTGGCAGAACCAATACAATGCTCGCAAAATGTATAAGAAATAATTTCTTATAAAAGTAAACTCGCAAAGCATCGGCTCCGATTTCATCAGGATTGATAACATTACCAGTTATTATTTCAAGCATTTACTTCTAATGTAGGAATTTACCTCCAGACACATCAACGTCATACAGCACATATGCGCAGCATGTCATGTATAACCAATTTCTTTTTACTCATCAGAAGGCCTTCCAATAGAAATAAAAAAAGCCAAGCCGTAGAATAGTTTACATTTTTATCATTTTGAAAGGAAGAGGCTTTTATAAGTTGAAATGTATAACAATGCTTTCCTCGTCAACTTACTAACATGGAGACGCCGTCCTACTGTCGATGGTAAGAAAAATGCACGCATTTCACACGCTGTTGAGTTTATTTTCAAAGAATAATACGTCGCAAATGTTATATTCGGCATCGATATAAATAACAAGTGCCAGTGTCAACTTAACTGTTTGCCTTCATCTCGCAATTCTAACGGCTATCCAGTAGATTAGGAACCTGACTTGCATGTACATTAAGCGCTCACAGAAAATGTCTGTGATTACGATTTTGCGGAATTGAAAGTTGTTCAAGTCATGCAATACTGTAATAGTATTTTTTTTCGATACCGTCTCTGAACGGTTTATCGACCGAAAATAACAGAAAATCTGCATTTCTTTTTATATGATTATTTGTGGTAAATAGGTGATGACGCGTCTTATAAATCTGTGCTCGCATAATTTTTTTTATCGCGGCTTTATATATAAGCTTTCCATAATTTCGTTCTTAAAAAAGAGTCTTGACAAAGAATTAGACGTTGAACGTTTGAGATATACAATATCTCACGCCTCGATATGGTTACAAACCGTGTTTAGAACTTGTGAGATGTAAATAGTGTCGACCCTCTTTATAGTCACATTGGCGGGAAAGATGTTTTTATATGGGGCAGATTGCAACAAAACCAGACAAAGTGAACATTTTATTATGTGACATAATAATAAATGAGAGGCTGATT